ACAAAAAAAGGCCTGTCATGAAGACAGGCCTTTTTTTGATTAACCATGTGATAAAAGCTTTGCTTGTTATTAACTGGCATAAAGAGTCACTGAGCGCCAAGGACAGAGCAACCTGACACCAAGGTGTGTGTGAGTGTGTCTTTGTGTTTCTATCACAGGGGATTCTGTGTTACCTAGATGTGTTTCATGAATCTCAGAAAATCAAGGATGATTGTGTCTAAGTGAGCTGTGTTTGTTTGTGAGAGTAGAGGCAGTATCAAGATAGTCAGACTGGATGTGTGTTTGTGTGGATATAATGTGTCAGACAGATCACGCCATGAATCAGAGGGGCGAGGTCTGTGTCGCTCTGCCTCTCATTACTCAAGAGTCTGCCTCCATTTTTTTTTTTTTATTCCAGCTCCACCTCTTTTTATTTAATTTAATTCTTTTTTGTTCATAATAATTCCACACCAGATTAAATTTTTTTGTCTTCTACATTTCCTTGACGTGCCCATTTTCTTCCCTTTTATTCCTCTGTCTCGCTCCTTTTCTTTATTCCTTACTTTTCCCTGAAGGGCCCCAAAGAGGTGGGAGAGATGTCCCAGTGCTCTCAAGCAGAATCCTTTTCCCCGTGATTTCAAACAGTTTTTCTTTCTCTGGTCTTCTCTCCTCCCTCAAGTGTTAATTAAGTGTTGATTTAAATTCCAAACTCATTTGCTTATCTTCCCCCTTTTTCATCTTTTTTTAAAGCCTCACATTCTTTATAGGCTGGGCACCTTTAATATTTTCAAAAGAGAGGCTTAAAGGACTGAGAGAGGACACCCTGAGCTATGAGCTCAATTATGTGGACAGATACACTCATACTGGAAAAATCCAGGACGTGCAGGTGACGCGAGTGTGCACTTCTTCCTGTTCTGTGTGTGCGTGTGTGTGACTTTGTTATGTGTTCACTGCCTGTAAAGCTAAAAAACAGGAACAAATGAAGCCTATTTAAATAGATAACTGGATTGTGAATACAAGGAAATAACACTAGCACGTGACATCAAGGTTCTGTGTGTGTGTGTGTGTGTGTGTGTGTGTGTGTGTGTGTGTGTGTGTGTGTGTGTGTGTGTGTGTAAAAGAGGTGATGATGATTTTTATTTGTCGACTGACTGAGTTATCTGGGCGTGACTGGATGAAG